CCCAGTTTGCTTTTTGTTTAGTCAATATTTGCCACAGAATATTCCGATATTTAAGGGTAGGATGAGGTGACTACTCTTGATTGCTGGCACACTACTGATTAAATGGGTGTGCTGCCTACCTGCATGTCAGTCAATGCCACTGAGTGAGGGGTGGGGGAGATTTTAGTTACTAACCCATGCACCACTTCCTCCGACATTCCTTACAGCACCTGTCATAGGGATCAAGCTTAGTATATGTATCAGAAAAATACAAATAATGTTTTAGCACTAGTCTAGTCAGAGTAGATCAACCGCCAAAACTAGTAATTGCAGGTTAGATTTGGAATTGCCTTTATTTGCTCTCATCATTGGGCATTTTGTCCAATTTTACTTTGCCTGCAGACTTCTATCAGGTGTCACTTGTTCAGATTTCAACAACTGCAGTTTCCTTTCTCACACCATTTTTAGCGCTGTTTTCTGGCTGGGCTATGAGGTCTGAGCCCAGAACTGCAACTGCAGGAAAACTTGCTTTTATGACCCAGCCATTCAGGCTCAGCAGCAATGCCTGCTAGGAGTCTGGGAGATAAGCTTTTGTAAGAGGTTATATTGAGCACATGAGAAGATTCATTTTTACATTTTTAACTTGGCCAAAAGTGGAGACATCTTAATGGGGATGGCAAATGAGCTTCTCTTTTCACAGGAATGGTAAAAGGTACAAAGACCAGTTTACTGACCATTTCTCACGTTCTGGTGCCTGAAACTTTTTTTTTTTTTTTTTTTTTTTTAATAGAAAAGCCTGCCAGTTTGCTTATCTGTCTGTTTTGGGGTTTTTTTGTTGTTGGTTTTTGGTTTTGCTTTTTTTTTGTGATGGGAGAAGTTTGTTTCTGTCTTTTTGTAAAAACAAACATGGACAAGACAAATACCATCTCTAGCATTTTTCCTGGAAAGTGTAGAACCATCTTCACTAAAGTTAAGGGGGAAAAAAAAAAAAAATGAACTGGTAAGAGTTGATACAGAAAGATGGAAACTGTAGCCTGCTCTGAAAAAATCTGACAATATTAGAAGCAAGGGGAAAAACCAGGGTCTTAAAGATCAGCACTTCTCACTGTACATGTTACTAACCTTTGGCAAGGTAACACACACCTACAGTCAGAAAACAATAAAGGATTGCCTTGAAAAGAGTAAACCCTTGGATCCTCACCTGCAGTTCTTTTCACATATATGGGGCTGGGTACAAGATTTTTCATGCTGGTTCTAGAAAACAATACTTTCTATGTCTTGATAAGTTTTTTCCACAACATTAATGACATCTCTCAATCCACTACTAATACATGTATTAATCACTGGACTTTTTTTTTTTTTTATAGCAGTCATCAGTACAGAACTGAATCACAGGCAAAGCAGGAAGCCAGAATTCTTGCTCTTCTCTACTTCCTACAATTATTCCTGATTTTAAAGGAGGTAAGCAAATAAAAAGGAGAGAAGATCTCCTGTCCAACAGACAGAATTGTACTGGAACTCAAGCCTGATGTATTTCTTCTTGTGCTGGGGAGTGAAACTCATTTGAAGTAACTGGTGTGGAATAATCCAGGTGGACTGTATTACTGAAGCTTAGAAATAACTTTTGGTGGAAAGAAAAATAATGACTGGCAAAACCAAGCTATCTACCCAATCAAGCAACCATGATATCTTTAAACTTATAATACAGATCCTACTCCACACATCAAATGCTGAAAACAACATGCTCTGCTAGCTTAAAAGAGATGTAACATTGATGAAAGAGAATTTTAAAAAATTAAGAGAAATCTTTCCTTATGCCCTCACCCTTTCCAGCTCCCAACACTGGCATAAATAGCAAATTTCCTCATTCTTACTCTTAAGTGGTACAGCTACAGCGCGCTATCACACCTCACGTTATGAATAGCAATAAATTTTATATGCAGCAACAAAGACTGCATGAGCATACCTGAGAAAAAGTGAATTGGGCTAACCTGGCAATCAGGCTGCTACACATGCATAACAGCCAGTTCGTGTAGCGTCAATGACTGCAAGCTGTCGCTTCGCTCTCGTTCCACTGCCCTCATCCCACTGGGTATTTGTGTAAAGAGAAAGGCGGAAACACAGAAATTCACTTGTGAAGCTCATTAGCAGCATGCACAGCACAGCGCCGGCTGTCACCCTTACTAGCACTCTGTCTAGGCTGAACTCTCACACTATCACCTCAACATCTTTATCCACTGCAAGGCAATATATTCATTTTGTCTCTATAGGCAGATATAGATGTTTCCCTAGGGATATTGACTGGATTTGGAAAACAATAACAAAGCTTTCTATGATTTTTACAACAGCTTACGCCAACATAACAGAATTTTACAAGCACAATACTAGTTTTGATTTTCAGAGTATTTTTTATGACTGTTTCAGTTGTACAATTTCAACATTATGGAACAATACATAATGTACAGTACACAGCTTGCGTTGTTCCCAGGTTTTAAAGTCACGTGTCAAGGTTCAGGCTGCAGAACAGAGTTCACCATTCCTAAAATGAAAGCAGGCACATACAATACTATCTTGCCGCAGTATTAGCACAATCTTGTTTGGCAAATACAACGTTAGGAGCACCACCTGCCATTAGGATACTGCATGTACCAAAGGATTACTCACATGGATCCTTAACCTTCTGCCCTTCTGCCCCTACAGCATTTGTTCACATCAAAGTGACATCACTAGAAAAACACATTGTTAAGCAGTTCGCTCCCCGGTTTTAAAAGTTAGTGAAAGGGTACAGCTAGAGAAACAACTCACAAAATGAAACTACAAATCTGATACATGTTTTGCATAGTTAAATTTATGTCAGAATAAACCTGGGTCTCTTGGAATTTTTTTCTTCCAGCCTTTGAACTTTTGCTTTGAGCTGAACAGTTATTCAGAACGCCCTCTTGTTCAGTGTTCAGACCACCCTGTCACTCCAGATACCTTTCCGTTTCTTTGGTTACTTTCTTTTCCTTAACATCTCTCAACCTTTTTTTTTATTCCTCCTACAGCAATATATTGTTCCAGACATCCACTCCCTGCCATTTGGCTACTCCTGTTTATTTTCTTCAGCTTTTCCCTCCTCTTCAGTCACTTCCACTCTCTTCTGTTACTCTTCTCAACATCTCTGGGCTCCTTCTCATCTTCAACCATTCTGAATTTCTCTTGATAAAGAGAAAATGCCACAGTCTTCTCCTTGTTGCATCCAGTTGCTATTGCTATTTGCAATACCACTTCTAAATCCTTTAAAAGCATTCACCTCTAAGGGCCTCATTCTTTCCACATTAACACCTGGATGTAACCCCAATAATGCCAATGGTTTTACATGCAAACTGACAGATGAAAATCCAACCCACTGCCTTGAATCGTAACTGGAAAGATAAGAGAGCTAATAGAAGGAAACAGAATGAAAGATTAAAATCTCAACATAATAGTGCACATTCCCTCTCTTGAACTTGCCTTTTTTTTTTTCCCTCTTGGTATGGAGCTAAACGTCTTTACAATGTGTTAACTTACTGTCACACTCTTCTGTTACAATAATACTAAACAAATTTGATCACATTTGCTTCTTTAATCTGTTGATATGGGTTGTTCTAAATTCTCTGCTAAACTCTTTTTAACTAGTGCCTAGCATCAGGAAGAATCTGCTTCCTACCTGTTGACACCAAAATGGGAGAGGGAAAAAAAATTCACATGCATCCCATGGAATGCAGAGGCTGCTGAGATAAGCATACTTTAAAAAATATTATAGGGCAGCCTGGATCACTGCTTATAGCACAACCAGTTTTGAAAGCAGGTTTTGCACATCTCTGGGTACAAATTCAAAGCTGTTCTTTCTTCACAGTCTCTTAGACTTTTTATTTTAAGACAAAAGCAAGTAAGTTGTATTTCTGAGTGTCTGCAAATTACTTTTGCCTGTAATTGTAACTTTCATCTCTGTTTCTGTTGCAGGTTTGGGTTTGTTTTGGGTTTTGGTTTTTTTTGGGGGTGAAAGTGGAACAAAACAAGCCCAGTACTCGCTAGCATAGGGAGCCAAGCCATGTTTTGCTCATTTGCCCCAGTCCTAGCATTGGCAACAGGTAGGAAGATTACTACAACTAGACTCCTGTTTTCACACAGCTCTGCCTGAGCACAGTATACCATTCAGATTGCACACAAGCTGATTACTTGCATATATTAAGAACCACTTTGAGTATTGAACTGCACATATTTTTTAGTATGGCCTTAGGCTTATTTTTCTGTAAGTTAAAACATTTAAAAGGAAAATACTTCATAAAAAACACTATACATTTTGAGATAAGCTAGTGCTCCTGAAAAGTGCTAGGTTAATAACTTTGGAAAGTGCAGTCCTCCACATAGCCAAAGAACATAGACAGCAACAGTGAAGGCATCTCTGATCTGCCTGCAGCATTTGAAGTGTGGGCACGGGGAAGGAGGGGAAGGGTGATTAGCCCCTAGGTTGATTCTCTGCTGACATATACAAGGATGCCAGTTCTGGAGCTGATGGTTGCAATCAAAGCACCTGTCAGTCACAGCATGACTGCTAACACTAACTTAACCTGACATACTGTACAAAACAGCTACCAGTTTTAACAACTTTATTTCTCCCCTTCTAAGTCAACTTTGAATCATCAGCCTTGAGGTAGACGACCAGATATTCCAACACACTTTCCCTGCACCTTTCAGTATCACATATTTCAAGTAAAAAATATCTATTTTCAAACACTGTAACTAGCGATTTCACTTTTGCCTACAGCGTCATCCATACTGTGTCATGTTTGGAATGAGCTCTTTTGTATTACATTTGATGCTTTACATTTTCAAAGCATATCCAAAAATCCACTAAATGAGGATTGCATTAAACCCTACAATTTAATCATAGTATATGATTATATATAGTGTGTATATATATTATATCTGTATAGTTTTATGGCCAAGTTACAAGCCCCTGAGAACAGAGTTTATGCAGAAACACTGCCACCAATAACACTAGTGGATGCAGCTTTATTTAGATGTAATTAGCATAGAAATCACCCGAAATTATTTAATTTTCTATTTATAATAGATTAACTCTTTGGATATTTTCATAACTATATTAAGACTACATTTGTTAATCTTAACATCCATTGTGGAAAGGTTGTATTTACACACAAATACATGAAGACTTGATGCTGAAAGAGCAAGAAGGGAAGAAAAGAAGGTGCCTGATCCTGTGCCCTTATATACATGGGTAGTGCCTTTAAGTCAACTTGTATGAGTGCGGGTCCTGTGTTTGAATAGAAGTTACAGGTTTGGGTCCATAATGCTTTATGCATGTATGGTTTTGACAAACTACTATTTAAACTATTTTTACAAATACATTCTACAGTAACTGTGTCTATGGGCTCAGGCTTCCAGCCCTGAGAGAAACATGAAGTGTGTCCCCTGCATTTTGTACAATCTACCAGATGAGGCACATGTCTAGAAGCAGCTGCTTTTACAACTCTGCAGTGAAATGCACCTGCCTACCCAGCACAGGATACGATCCCTCAAGCGTCCCAGTCTGCATCAGGCCCCATCACGAACAGTTGCTCTTTCACTGATTATAAGACTTGGACAAGTGAGTCTTGGTGAAACAGTAACAGTTTGCTTAAAATGCAAAACAAGCCAAAACCCAATTCAAAATAGACTCCAATTTGTCACCCAACTTGTTTGTGTTTCTGTATCGACCTACAGATGTTGCTGTCCAAAAAAGAAAGAGACTTCAGTTCAAAATAACAACATTACATCGTCTGTGAAAATGAAACTGTATGCTTTTCAGAGTACAGGAGCTTCTTCTATCGGCTACATTCTTCATTGAAGTTGTTCTCTCCCAACACTGTGAATACAGTCTCGGTTTGCAACATATTTTAGAAGACAAACTAAACATGTTTGCAGTACTTTGACAGGAAAATGGAATTCTTTCCAAACTGAAAGAATATGAATTTTGATAAGTTAATAATGACAAAAGTTTTGTTGGTAAAAAGTGCGAATCTGTGTATATTACCTCCAAGCATTTTACACTGCTACCTACAGGGAATTTCAAAGCATCCTTCATTTTGATGTGATTTACCAGTTGAATAGTACATTTTGACCAAGAGTCATAAAGTATATTTGGCTGCTGCCTCCTGACTGTACAGATGCAAAGAACACCTTGAAAGGGGGAAAAAAAAAAAAAGAGATGCTACTGTCAGTTTACATTTATGAGAATATTTTTACCCACACAGGAAATCTGAGAGAATGCCACAGTCCCAAATACAAGGATATATATATATCACAATTCAATTTTAATCCCATGAGAAACTTTTTAAAGTGAAACTGCTTGTGGTACAACTGGGATATATTTTTTGATATATTTCTTCTCCTATTTGGAAAGACACAAGAGAACATTTTAAAATAACTAATTAATCTAAACAGTTTTGGGGCCCCCGTTTTCTAAATATGTCAGTGGGACTAAGCAGGTTTCACAGAACATTTATCAATAAGTGCTATATGCAAGAAATCATACTTGATTATCCATACTCTAGTGCCTACAATATCTCAAACATTTGAGCATTGGGGTTCGTTTTCTATGATGGCTGCTCTAAACTGCCTGTAATTTCAGTAGCCCAGGAGAGGCAGTCCTGTAGTTGGGCATTATCAGGGCTGGCTCACTAGCCCTCCCCACTACACCTGTTGTGCTGGAGTCTGGCCAGCGAGCAATGTCTGTATTTGTTATCACCTCTGGTATCAGTTAAGGCTGGGTGGAAGGGAAGTTGTAACAGAGCTGGCTAAAGTAGGGTGGTGTGAAAGTGTGGAATATCCATAGTGAGTGGGGAATGTTTTGAATGGGGAAGTTATACTAAGGTAAGATATAACCAATATAAAAACAAAGTTACAAAAATTAAATGGTCTTGGTGTCATAGTCAGCTGTTACTCATTTTTGCTAAATCACCACAGTCTAGTCATCTCTGTACCTTGTCATTTCTTTCACATAGAAATTTTAGCTTCTGTGCTTTCTTGTGCATAAACACGCCTTCCAGATTTCCTGTTTCCACAGAGCGTAGTTCAATCGCCTTCTCTCCCCAGCCCATGACCTGATTAGATTGAAGGTAAGCTAAAAGAAAAAAAAAAAAGGGAAAAAAAAAATTTGATACTATTTAACAGCTGAAAGACTGATTCTTGCCTCATTTATGTCAATATGGATCTGAAGCCTTTCTCTTTGATAACAATATATTCTGAATTATTTGTATTTTAAGTTTACACAAAAAGCCTTGGGAACAGTAACTAAATTTCAGTTTCTCCTCTCAGACTTATTTTGGACTCTAGACATAAATCTGAAGTATGCTAATATTGTATATTTTGGAATCACAAAAGGTTGGCGGAAACCTCTGAAGGGCATCTTGTTTAACTCCTGCCCCCAAAGCAGGGCCAAATTAGACAAGGTTACTCGAGACCTTGTCCAGACATGTTTTGCTGGATACTTCACAACCTCTCTGAGCCCCTGCTGCAATGCATCACTGCTTTCAAGGTTAAAAATTTCTTCCTAATACCTAACTGGAATTTCTCTTGGTGCAACTTGTGCCCACTTTGCCTCTCATCTTTTCACTGTACATGTCCAAGAAAAGTCTCGACGCCGTCTTCTCTATACCCTCCCATTAGGAAGCTGGGTTTGTATTTACCATGGAGTTCAGCTTAGTCTGAAACCTAAATACTTTTGAATCTGAGATGATGGCATGATTAATTTGGTGCCCTTAGCTATTGTTTTCCCATCACTGGTTACGTGCAATATCTCCAAAACCAAAAGAAGATACTCCAGCACTGTAGAAGCTTACTATGTTACTCCCTTTAAATCTGTTAATTAGATGAGAAATCAGAATAGTGACGAAGGAGTTAACACCACAGATTTCAAATTAGGCCCAGTTTCAATGAAAGCCCTCTGATTAGTGCATGTATGGGCTTCCAAGGTAAAAAACACGTTAGTTATGCTCTATTAATAGTCAGCGCTCAGAAACTGTTCTTGCTCAACTAGGAACTGTTATTTCATTAGTCTGAGAATTCTGGTGCTCTGAAATGATGTAGAGGGAATGTGTGCATTTAACTGGTTTTTAGCTTCAGTGGACAGTGCTCCCCTGCACTACATTATTAGTACAAGCAATGTCTGTTCCTTAAAACCTTCCATGTTGATTTAGATTTTTGTCTAAAAATTAACCTTTCTGTACACACTGATAAGGAAACAACAGCCTGCAATCCTACTTTAGAAGGACAGCAGAAAAGCAATATGCCTGAGTGACTATATATCCTAGCGGTTACTGATTTAATATTAACTTGGAATCCTTGCTTTATAATTCTTGTCAGAACAAGTGTATGAAAATTATACCTCCTTGGAAACATGTGGTTTGGCTACAATGTTGTGATTTTAGTTCCCTCAAAGTCTACAAATTTCCCCTAAATCTGTTTAGTATACTTTCAGTTATTCTTTGTGCACACTGAAGGCTTCCCTGCCACTAGAGCTGAGAGCAAGAGAATTCTTTCCCACTATCCCAGTCATGTGGAAAGAGGGAAAAAACATCCCGTTTGAAAAGCAAAACAGCAGTGAGCAACTGCGGATAAGTGGGAGAAGAGAAGGGGGGGAGGAGTATTTTCTAAAAACCAAACACCTGAAATCAATACATTTCTAAATCTTTTCTTTATGCTTCAGTTCCTGGGCTGTACAACAGGGCACTACTGCTGCAGGCTGCGAGGAAGACTGTCCTTAACATTTCTGAATCACTGCAGCAGTAGCATGATGAGCACCAGGGCAGCACTCATGCAATCTGCAGTTAGTATCTAAAAAGGTAGGCCCAGACCGCACATAAAGTGAAGATAAAAATGTTACAATACTGAGACATTTGCTATTTTTTGTAACAAGTGACACCACATTAACCTTTTCAAACTTCGCTTTTGAACACAACAGAGACAGAGGCACACTATGGTTCTGGGGGAGCAGACAGCGAGGCAGGTGTGTATGAAAGCGTTCTATGGCTACACTGTTTAGTACAGGTCATATAGGTCCAGCAACAAAGACCTAATCCACTCGTAAGTCTCCTTATCTTTTCCACTACATGAAATCTGTGCTCAAGTTGTCAATATGCTATGTCTGTATCAGCTATATCCATACCTTTGGCAGATTTCAATTTGACAGCATCCCTGCAGCTCTCAGTAACCGCTTAATTAGGCTCTGTTGCAACCTCTAGGTCATCCGGGATAGAAAGCCCTGGATGACTGGACCACCACTGCCATGTTCAGAAGAGACCTGATCTCCCATCCGTATTTACAGTAGGAACATAATAAAACAGATACACAAAGTTCAGCCACTGGTGCTCTCTCTGCTGGCTGGCCTAGATACTGAGAACTTGTCAAATTTCAGTTGTAGTACAAGTAGCACAAAAACTCATTCTTGTAGCAGAATCAGAAAGTTCTTTCTCAAATTGCATCTGTGGAATAACATGCCAACAAAAAGGCCCCATTATACCATTTGTGGGGTCGTCCAGTTATAGGAATTTATCTATACATGGAAATTAATTTGGAGGACAGCAGGCTGTGAATTCAAAGGTCAGTAATGAGTCTTGATCATCTTCCCATGTGGGAGCACTCACAAGTGTTTCATGTCAAATGAATAGAGAGCAGATTAGGTACTCAGAATAAAGTTGTCTTATTCTGGAACAAAAGCTCCTACACCATGAGCAACTTAGGAATAGTTATTTTGAGTCCACTTTCTACCTCAACAAGCTTCAGATAAAAATATCCTGTGCTTCCAGCTAGCAACACATAAGGGTATTTATATTACACACAATGCAAGATTGTACCGGTTTCTAGCAACCCTAGACTTAGACAGTTACTCTGGTCCTTTGGACAGTAGCTCAGCAGAAGAGGCATATACTGACTCAGACTGATGTGCCAATATTGCCTAACGTACTGGAACAAAGTTATTCAGAATTACCTGAAGCTCCCCTGCTTCACCCAGATTACCGCATATCTTAAAAGACCTACAGCTGTGCATGAGCTGGGGTTCTTGTTACACTATTTACACCAGCATTACTCCCTGGACATCAAAGAATATATGCCATAAAGTTAGTTTAGCAAAGTGAGCTCAAAATCAGTTTCTTAACATCGTGAAAGCATTAGCAACGCTCTGAACTTGGGGTGTGATTTGGTATTTCCTGTTTACAGTCTGTATTGAGTAGAGCCCTCATTCAGGGAAGGTCACTTCCCTGCTTCAAGGGGAAATGGTTGAGGGAGATAGGAAAGGGGAAAGAAATTACTGAGCCATATTGGATCCATTAACTTCTATGAAGTGTCACTGACATGAGCTAATGATCCCAGTCTCACACCGGTAGCATACTCATAGGCTGAATGAGACAAGGGCACTTGGCACCACAGAACCCAGGCGCTGCTACAGTCTCACTTCCCTTCTTAAGCTTCCTTTTCTTTTTTAAACTCTTCCCCTTCAAAAATCCTTTTCTGATCTCCTGTACTGAATTTGGCTCACTGCCCTAAGCAGTTATTCCCAACTGACCTCTGCATGAGAGCAGAATCGGGCCAGCTTTTAGCAAAATATCATAAAATTGGACTTTTCTGATTAGTGTTACAGAAATGGGGCAGGAAAGAACCTTAATGCACCTTCTCTTCCATCCATATCTGTGCCACATCAGTATCACTTCTGACAGTTGTTTGTCTAACCTGTCCTTGAAGACCTCTAGTGATGGAGACTCCAAAAATTCTCCAGGCAACTGATTCCAGATAAACCAAGAAGTTCGAAATGAACAAACTGAACATGAATTAAGAGTCTGACCCGCTTTTGCTTGCCCGAGTCATGATATCAAACTCCGTTTCACAGGGTAAAAGAGAGCGTATGCTGCTTTCCTGAATTCCTTTTTGGAGCCAGTACGTGCATAGGTGAAATGCAGTGCAAAAAAGCTACTGAATTTTGCTTTTGTATACATGTTTGAGAAAATTGCTTCAGGCAAGTATGCAGCTGGGCATGAACATTAAAAGGAGAATATCCAGTGATGACTCTGCTGACAGTAAAAGATACCAGCTATTAGAGACCATACCGATCTTAAAACTGAGTCCGCTTCTACAGAACCCTTCTTTGGCCCTTCTGTCAAACCCAGTATGCCCTATGAAATCTCAACTTTTACTGGTTCCCCGCTCTTTGGGGAAAGCATGTTTGGTTATTTATTTTTAGACAAATGGAAGGGAGACATACATGTTGAGGACTGGGAATGGAAATAACGCACAGAGATACCAACAGTGTCCCGTGATGTAGCAAAGCTTGTTCCCAGTGAAACCCAGCCTCCAGCTCTCCCATGATGCTGCTGATCACTGATTAAGGAGTGATTAGCTACTTGCGTGTACTTCTGTCTGTCGCCCATACTTTAAAACTTGCTGCCCCCAAAGTTAAGCAATTTTGGGTAGGAAAACTGAGGAAGGAGTTGGTAACTTCACTTGTACAATTCTGTTAAATAGTTTTACTGCTATTATTTATGTTACCTGGCTAGAAGTGGGTATTTTTCTTCCTCCAGTCACAGCTGTGGAGAACTTTTACTAAATGAGAGGCTAGAGAGTCAAAATCAAGAGAGGAAAAAAAAACCTAGGGCTGAATAAAGCCACAAATGCACAAACGAAGAAATTGGCCATGGAAGGCAGGTGTTTTTCTGCTGTGTGTTAGATTGCACTGGACAAAGAGCTAACACATACAGTTCCCTAACCACCCCAAGCAAGCTAGGGATAAATTTATGACTAAATCCTTTTTCTTTCTAAACACGCATGTTTCTATGCATCTCTATTCCAAAGCTTCTCTGCTCCCAGTTGTTGCTCACTCCTTTGCAGTGATTCCAGTAGAACTGATAACCCAACCCAGAAACGTATCTGGGGTGACAGTTTGCTTGTTTAGTGCTTTTTGCTGTTCCCTGGGGAAAGAGCGTGTAGGAGATGTGCCCAGCAAGAATCATTCAGATACGAGCAGGCATTTTCTGTGCATGAGCTGGACAGCAACTGTTCCAGAAACTGGCAAGTATGTTGATAGAGCACTGAGGCAGTAATTCAACCAACTGTTTCTCTACATAACATCCTTTTTGCTTCTAATAGGTACATGGTCAAGGAAATAAGGACTTTTATTGGTTCCCCACTCTGGGAATATCTAGTTTTGTGCCAGCCCTCTCAGCCTACACACTGTAAATAATTCATTACTGACACAAAAGGGCAAAAGTGCTTCCAAATCTTACTAACTTGATGTTTCTTAAACCCTTTTTTAATCCTGTTTTATAGAAAGAAAATATTACAGCTATGTTTGTATTTAGCCCTACATGTGTGAAATATCTTTCAGATTAAACATAGATAGAGTACTTCTACAATTTTAATTTCCCACGGGATTTGAGTTTCCTCTCTCCAATTTCTTATTAACAGATCAGTCACAGAGGTCCCAAATTAAAGACTATGAGTTAGCTGTATTTAGAGTCCCTGCCCTAAATCCATCAATTATAATACAAACTATTTTTTATTTTTTGTCGTCAAGATATTCTCATCAACTACAAAAGTTTTCTTCCAAAGTAATTGTTTAAAGAAATCAAGAAATGAGCAAAGGATGACTAGAGAGCACCCTGAGGTTAACGCAAGACCCTTCTATCTCTGAAACACAGAGTGAAAATTTTGAGATAAGCTCCTACAGACTTTAGGAAGGCCGAAATGGGTCTGGAAATTCCAGGAAAACGGGATCTCTTATGAAACTTTCAAGTTCCCCCTAAGTTTGGCCATGCAAATACCACGGTTATTCCCACTTCTCTCATAATAGTTAATGTTTTTGTCTGGAGCCAAGAATTTCAAAGGATCAAGAAAATTAATAGGAGCTAGTGGGAAACAACTATTAAAAGAACAGTTAACAGAGCTCTTTGAGTTGTGCATTGAGTTATAGGTTGGGTTAATTTGTTTTTAGTGGAAATATGATTCCAATCAGAAGTCAAATTAATCTTGTACCACATCATAAAGATTGACAATTTCTGTTCCAAAAAAATCCATTTCTGAGATACCAGAAGTGCTGCAAGGAGTAGCAGAAACGCAAGGGTTCTCAAGCTAACATATTGGAAAACTTTCAAATGACAACTGAGAGGGGCTGTTTGGAGACTGCCTCCCTTCAGCTGTGGAATCTGCAGAAGTACAAACAACGAAAGAGACAGATGGATGGAGACAGACACCTCTCCTTCCAGAGAAAGCCTACAGCCTTGCTTTCTGAGCACTGGGAGAAGTTCTACAAAGAGCTAGCTGTTTACTCAGCTCTCCTAACCTTATCATCCAAAACATAACTAGCCCTCTGCTCAGCAGGATGTTTCATTATACCTGTCCTAGCTACCTCTCCCTGGCTGGGCACCACCTTCCCATCTGGTGGTGCCCATTTCTCTAGACTGACTACAGAGAAAATCTAAACTATTCACGTGGATAAGACTAACTTCTATATAGTAAAATTCACCAGACAGGATGCCACCCTCAGAAGCATCTTCTCCATCCTCTTCCTATTTAACTGCCCTAAAATACTGTAACAAAAATGCTTAGGCAATTTCATACTGATAGCTTTCCGCACAAATGATTATCATACTGATGTGCTGAAGAACAGGAGAAATAGCTGCATGAGCACGTGGAAAGGCAAATGTCCAAATAGCGTTCCTTCTGTTAGGATGTAATCAACCTTGAGAAATTGAGAATATCATGTCTAGCCAGATGTATACTGACGGATGTTTTAAATTCGAGTAATTAACTGGCACAAAAGATCACATATTCAGCTGGTCCAAAGTGGTGAAGCTTTACTCACTTCAATGCCAGCTGGGTACGCGCAAGGAAATTTTTACTGCAGTTAAGGCAGTGTGATTTCCAGGCTACAAGAACGCTTTACAAACCTCTCTCCTATCTGTGGGTTTGATGATTCAGTACTTTCGGCAACATTAGGACAAAGGACTTAAGCTCTCTCTGGTCCACTTCCG